TGACAATTATTACACGCATGCAAGTTCAAATAGCATTGAGCAGTGGGGAACAAATATATAATTATACCTGGTATGAAACAGGGCTTGATACTTTAATTCAATTTAATTTTAATAATTATATTGAGGTTTTCGGCTCTCGTTTTTGAAACATGATAACTCTTATGTAGCAAAGGAATCATATTTTTTAAAAAATAATTATAATTTAAGCTCTACTTCTGTATGAAGCACTGTTTTTTAAAAATAAAAACAAAAATACTAAAGAACTCTGGATTATTTACCTAACATGTTCTTTCCTATTTTTCTACATATCTGCATATATATAATAATTATGAATGTCAAAAAGTGTGTCACTGTGTCACAGTTTTCAACTTAAAGGGACAAAACTCTCTAACTTTCAATATCTTATTTCACATGAAAAAGTTACTGTGCTCAAATTAGTGTTTCAAAATAAAATTATCCGTGTTTTCAACTTTACTCCAAGAGGCCGTAACCCAACATATCCTACCATTTTACAATTAGGCCAACTCTCTGAGCAAATTAAAAACATTCTGGGATGGATCAAAACCCATAATCCTGAAATTTTGTATTCCAAAGTTTTCATTACTGTGATTGCTTTCAGCAATATTTTACATATTTTTTTGTGACAAATTTTCTTGTATGATGACAATTTTTATAACTTGGAAATAAATTTGGGAATAGTTGAAATTAATTGAGAAATCCAGCAAAAGTCACCCATGAAATAAAAATAAGTATTGAATGCTTCAAAGGAAAGCTTAAATATTAGTGCAATACTAAGCAGAAATTTGGAATGGGGTTACATTTTTTCAAAGCAATGTAACTTTTTCTGTATATGCTTGTGGATTATATGCTTGTGGCTTTTATCCTGATGAATTATAGCTAGATTCTAAGATAGTTTTTTGATTTTACTTTTTTTAATCATTTCATCCCAAGCAAGGCAATAATGCCACTAAGACACGGGGGTGGGTACTGAGTGTGAGAATATTAGAAAATATTCTATTGAGAGGACAATAAAAGATTAAGAAGACAGAATATAACGATTAACACTGCATTTAAACTTTTGAAGATCAAAGTTCAATGGGAAGCAAGAAGTCAAGAGAACATTCCACATGCTTGTGAACCACTTTTCAGCCGTTCAGTATCTGTCTATATTTCTGAGATGAGGTATTATGTACACTATTTACATTATTCAGACTATTGTCCTCATCTTTGTCACCATATTTACTACAACGTTTCGGCCCTTCAGTATCTCTCTATATTTCTGAGATGAGGTATTATGTACACTATTTACATTATTCGGACTATTGTCCTCATCTTTGTTACCATATTTATTACAATGTTTCACCCGTTGTATGCTCCGGCCTTTTTCAGGTGGTTGAACTGAACCCTTTATTTCACTCACTGGGGTAGACTGTTTTAGTTCCACATGCCATATTTAATGGATGTCAGTTTTCAGTTATCTCCTGTTAATTCCCCAAGTTCTCCACTGCCTTAACCGGGTATTGGGTCTTGTCACTGGATCTAACCAACGCCTTTATCCACTGTGCCATGAGGACATCTGTGTATGAATTTCTGGGTATTATAAACCTAATGTCTTCAGCATCTAATTTTTTACCAGTGCTCATATTGCAATTTTTGCTGTTATCATTACATATTTTTACCAGAGCTCATATTGCAATTCTTTTGTTGTCCAGTCAACTTTGAACTTCAAAAATTTAAATGCAATATCGATTTTTATCTTCTGCCCTCTTAATTCTCAGTCTTTTATTGTTCTCTCTCCTTAATAATGTTTTCTTCTTCTTGTATTCTCACACACTCAGTACCTCTTTCCATGTTAGTGACTTTATTGCCTTCTTTGGGGTTAAATGACTGAAAAAACAAAGATCTTCAAAATGACCACCCACTGACCAAAAATGAATAAAATAAATAAAGAAAAATTTTTCAGAAAAAATGCCAAATGGCTGGATGTTAGTTCTGTTTGCAATTAGAATTAAAGGTTGTTTCATTGTGTGTCTGTTGGCTAGGTACAGGATGCCTAAAAGAGTTCTGGGTCACCCATTTGAGTGAGTGAATTGCAAACCACACACAGTGATGTAGAGATGGGCAGAGGGGTATTAGAAGAGAGTCCTTTTTTATGAGATAGGTACAGATGTGGCAACATAGATTCTAGGTGGAAGGACTTCAATGGGATACATGGTGCTTATTGGCTTATCGTCTCTCCACATGTAGTCTTAGCCTGTCTATTGAACTTGGGTGTGGGAAGTGGATTGATGTTTCTGCACTGAAAGAGATAATCAGCTCCCTCAAAAAAAGAGTTTGTGTTTTATGTGCAATCTGCCGAAGAAAAATTACTAAAAAGTAGTTCGCAAAAATCTACTTTAAGGACCAGAATCTATGCTAATGTTCTTCCCTCCCCTGAATGGCATGACCAATCAGAAAAGATCTCTCGGTGAACAAAAGCCATTGTTTTTTGCTTATGCGCATTAGATTTTCTGAGTTTGGTGGACGAACACGTGTTTTTGCTGGTGAGAAGTGAAGGTTGGATGTGTGACCCCATTTTATCGTTTCTACGTTGCTTGTTACAATGGACTACCGTTTGAACTGTGATTTGGCTACAAGTGTTGCAGTCAAGAGACAGAAGAAATCTATTGCAGACATTTGTTGCTACTATAAGTTGACAGTTTTTTTTCTTTTCTTTACAACCAGTTTCAAAATTCCTGCAGCTCTTTGTTTACTTTACACAATCTGGGACATATCCAAAACTAAGACAAAGGAATAATCTATTTCTATCTGAATACCACGTCCACAAGGTATTCTGAATCTTGTAATGGTCAAAAGGAGTAGTCCCCAATGTTATTTACCTACTAATCAGACATGTGAAACTCTGAATATATGGAAAACAGGATTTGTGTTTTGCATTTCTCATTGTGATGTTATCTCTTTTACTTCCTTGGGAATGTATGATGGGCCTTTCCTAGTTTTGTACACACTGACATGAACAAGAATGTAAACACAACATAGGAATTTGTTCAATCAGTAAAGACTGAAAGAGAGAGAGAGAGATCCATTATATGTTTACACCTTTTTTTAAAAATTTTCCTATTGACTGGAAATAAAAAAAAAAAAATTATAGTGAACACATTAATTATCCTGATTATCATCCCCATGGCCAGGTAAGGTCATAGGATCACTGCATAGCTGAGTAACTGACCAATTTGTAACTGGGCTCAAAGTTAGGTATTCATTTATGCATAATGCATCTTGGGCAAGTACACCTGGCTGAGGCTATCTCTCTCCAGGTCAAACCACAACCAACTTGAAAGCTTTTCTTGGTCACAGATTTGTGGCTGTTCATCCCATTGGGGGTACCCACTGCTCTGGTCATTGACTTCAGTCTAGGAAGCCCTCCACTCAGTGATGCAATGTCATCACTACCCTGACTTCATATATAGCTATGGAGCCACAGTCTACTCCATTGTGCTTGATAGCCATTGACCCTACAAGAAGGTCTATCTGCCCTTGTTTTTAATCCTACTCAATGTCTAACCACCCTCCTCATCAGAAAAGCCATACCATGTAGTAACTAGTATTGGTTTACATGTTACCAACACTAAGTTGTGTGTCATGCGTGATACATGCTTAAGTGATCATGTATCTTTTGATACATGACTGACAAGGCAGATTTTTTTCCCGCAGTAGGTCATTATTTCTTTCTGTGGTAGACCAGTTGCCATAGCTGGGGGGAGAAGAAAAGGATTCATACCTTTCCCAAGGGTATTAGCATGTAAGTGAATGTAATGGATTTGATTGGAATTTGAACTCAACTCTCCAATTCTTCACTCCAAGCCGCTATCAAATTATGTTCTATGATTTTAATCCAGCTTTAGCTGAATCATGTATCCCACCATAAAAAATATCCCAAGTTTTGATTCATTGAATTCTAACAAGAAACATTTGGGTATCATGAAATTGTTGGAACCACTGATCAACCAAGTTGTGTTGCCCAGTACAAAACAAATGATAGCCTGAGGACAACATATCTGAAGAATGCATTCTTATCCCAATTCTATGATCATTTGCAATATGAAAACAGGTATTGCCAGGAAGCAAAATTACCATTTGACTTCTTTACCTGGAAAAGGTATCTTCTACATCAATTCAACATTCAAATGATCCAATTACTAACAGGTTTTCCATGTTCCTGTAATTTGTAATATAGGACTCACTTTGAATCCAACTTTCCTGTGAATACTGTTTAGGTCGAGATGTTGAAAGTTTTCCAGGGTTTGACTATGAGTTTTGGATTCACTTGACTTGATTCACTTCCCAAAAATCATTATTCTGATATTTGATCATTGAAATACGAATTTGGAGTGGGTAGGAGTTGGCCGGGTCGAGAATCTTTCCGTACACACCTCATAAGTTTGATTCCCACAGGTATTTTATAGCTTTAACATTTTACCCAGTGTGTGTACTTTCTAGTATTTTTTTTTTCTTACAGATTAGACGATCTGCAGCGTTTAAAATAGAAATCAATTATAGTTGCGCCAAGACTCTTGTTCTGAACTTCTTACTGTTGCATATCAAAACAATGTAATTAAAACTTAAACAAAAAAGGAATCCTGGAATAATAATACAGTGTAGTTAAAAGAAACCACTTTACAAACATATCCTATTGACGACTTCAGTTCATCGTTCATTTACAAAATTATATAATTTAATTGCATGACATTTTAAAAGTAAATCAAAAATAGGTTCTCTGAAAGAATCGCAAGAATGAGGAAATAAAAAGAAAGAAAGAAGATAATTAAATAAAAATTTCGTTTCGCTTTGTTGGTACTAACGGAAATCCATTTCTACTTTTTTATTAAACAAGCATGGCAGCCACCATTGTTATGTACATTACACATTGTTTATGATTTACGCCCAATTTTAAATATTTTGTCGGATAAACGACGAAGCAAAATTAGTGGAAGAGAAAAATGCCTTCCACCAGCAAGCCTGCATCCCGTTCCCGATCCAGGGAGCGACACCGGGAAGATAAAAACAAGTCAAAGAAGCACAAACACGGGTCCAAATCGCAGAAAAAACACAAGAGTCGAAGTTCGTCCCAACCCAGGTCCAACTCGTCTCCGAGGGATCGACAACAAAAGGATAAAGAATTGTCCAGTTCGGGTCCTGTGGTAAAAAATACAGACAGCAGTCAGCAGAAAAGAGGACGCTCTTCAAGCAAGGATTCTTCAGTTTCTTCTCAATCGTCCAGCCATTCTCGCACACATCGCCGTCGTCGTCATCGTCAACATAGTCGTAGCAGTTGCAGTGGAAGCAGTAGTAGTAGCAGTAGTGACGTTGGCAACTTTAAAAGGTCCAAAAGTCACTCTAAGCGAAAAAGAAGGTCCCGGTAAGAAGAGTTCCCTATTTTGTTTTTAAATTTAAAAAAAATAAAAACAAGTTTAAAATAAATGTTTTTTATTTATTTTTTTTTTTTTACTTCGTCTTATATTCAAAGAATGACTTTAAAAAAAGTTTTGACAGCATCACTTGCTTGCTTTGCTGTTTTTTAACCCTTACCATAAAAATTAAAAAGCATTTGTATAATAAAAATAACAATTAAACCTTCCAGTCAGTTGCACGGCAATTAGTAAAAGTTAAACTCTTTTTTTAACTGAAAATACAAGATTGAGTTGCTCACCAAGTGTAAAAAATTATCTCGGCATAAAAATGTTTTACAAAAAAATGTTTCACAAAAAAAACACTCCTTTAAAATACTTTTTTAAAACATCTTTTGTGTTTAGGGAGAGCAGAAGACAACACAATTTAAGTTAATTTATTTTTTGTTATTTATCGAAGGAGGCAAGCGTGAAAACAATAAAAAACTTTCTTCAAAATTTGGGAATAAGTTTAAGCTTGTGCTCCGTTAATTAGACACAGGGGGTGGGGGGCAGAGAACTACCCCCTCCTCCAATCGCGTCATCGAAGCCTGAATTCACACAGAGGAGGAAACTGTTTTAAAACATGTCCTACTTTGCACTTCTTCGTCTATTATTTCTAGAAAGAGAAACTAAGTTACTTACTTACATAAAACAATCCTCTCTCTTTTATAAACCTACATTCAAACTGCATCAAAAAATACTTTATTTTTTTTTTTATATCAGTCATTATTAATTTTAATAAAAATAATGTTTTAATCTCATAATTCAAGTAATTTAAAACTTATTAGTACGACTGTGTGTAGTCTGTGTACGAATCAGGAGTAATAAAAAACTAAATTGTATTTCTTAATACGACCTGATTAAAATGAGATCAGTCCAGAAAGCATCTATTTTTTTGAGTATTTTGAGAACCTGTTGCGTAGCTTGATGTAACTTGGCAACCAATTAAAGAGCAACATTGGCAGTGACATACTAATTAGTGAGCTTGTCTACTGTGTGACTTGAATTCATAATGACTTGCTAGTGGATTCTTATCATATCGTGTGGTATTTTTTTTTTTCTTGGCAAAGTGTCACCTCCGCCAGGTTTGTTATACCCCTGCAGTCCAGATTAGGTTTACTGTGAATTCTGAATTTTCCTAAAGCTAAAATCACTATTTAAACGCCATGGATGAGATTAAAGGGGAATACTGTTGTAAGAAGGCAGATGATTGTGATTCTGAATGAAGACTGTTTTGAAAAAATTAAATATATGTAGGGATAAGAGTGTGAGACCTCAAGAGGAGTATTTTGAAAGAAACTAAAGAGTCGGTATTACCCTAGGTAGTTTTTCTTTTTTTTTTTTCTTTTTTAAATATTAAATGATTGGATACTTTCCGGACAGACTTCATAAAGATTGCCTGAAATTTTGTGGTTAGCCATTGATGTTATTTTAAAAGTTATTCACATATGTCTTCTTATTGGGTGTAATTCTAAGCCATGTCATTGTTATTCCACATTATTCAGGTTTAATAGCCATAGCCCTAATGATTTTTAATTTTACCACCTTGTTTTGACTGGTCTGCTCTTTCATCTTCCTCAGTTGTTTATCTGGTAGAGATTTTTCATGCTACGTTGAAACACTGATTCTCATACGATCACCAAAGTTAAGCAACATTGTATCTAGATGGGTGACCATTTGGAATGACAGGTGCTGGGTGAATGGATTCGGAAATCGAGATCAGAAAGCTGACTTCCAATTCCAGCTGGGTTCATTATATTGACTTACCTACAAATATCCTTGGAAAAGGTATGAATCCACGTCTTCTCTCCCCAGCTATGGGTTAATTAGTGTGACTTGTATCAGTAAAGTAAATCATTATTATCTCAAAAAAAAATTCTTAAAACATAAAAATATTTTCTGACTGTAAATAAAAGGTTGATAAAACAAAAAACAAATTGGTCAAACTCCTGCTGCTGTCTCCAAAATACTTTGACACCCAGATCTAGAACCATCTTTTAAAAAAAAATCACAAAACAAATCACTGATGTATTAGATGTGTGCAAAAGATTTCAGCTTTTTACACTTTTTAAATAAATAAATTATAAAAAAGATTCTTTTCCCTAAGCCTTCTGTTTCTTGTTTTGGCTTTTAGGAATTTTTGTACACACCCACCTCGTTAAGGAATCCAAAGAAACTCTGGCTGCAATGTCGAGAGAAATGACAACAATGATGACAATATGTATAATTTGTGGAATAATAATGGCTCCTTTTAGAAATTCAGAAAACTCGAGGAAGGCTGTAGACTGCATCAGCCAAAATATATAAAAAATGGCCAGAATGAGTATACATGTTCATATAACTTAAAGTTGGTTTTATTTCTTAATTCCCAATCTACAAAGGAAAAGAAATCAAGATGAAAGAAATATGATTAAAAATATTTAATTCACTAATAACATTCAATATTACTACTACCAGAGTAAATAAAGATGAAAGAAATATGAATAAAAAAAAAAAATTAATAATGCATGTTTCAAATTATAGGTTTTTGTTAGAAAAAAAAATTATTTTAGAATTTCAGATGATTGTGTTGAATTGGGAGCGAAAGGGGGTGGTAAGAAACTGGTGATGCAAACTGCATCTATCTTAGTCATTAGGTATACCTTACATATAGATATGTTTACTAAACTCAGACTATAGCCTAACTTGGAGGAATAGAGAATTAGTATAAAAAAAGAACATGTTATCTTCTAAAGAAGGAAACTTTTTTGTCTTGAAAGCCAGAATTTATAATCTTGATTTCTACTTGGGTTTGAACACCATTTACAAGTACTGATGGGAAATATTCAACTATCTCAGCCACCAAGTAGGCTGGATGAGAGGGATTTGCAAAACTTAGCTTAGTGTGGCAAAAGTCTATAACAGCGGAACATCCATTGATGTTCGAAAGCACTTGAATCAGGTCTAGCATTTCAGGGAGGTAACTCTGACGCAGATAACTCGTTTATTAGTCGACAGACTTGAAATGAAAATAGAGAAATATTTTTGTTCATTGAAAATTCTACATTTGTTCAGTGAAAACATAGATAAAAAAAAAACTAAACGTTTTCTTTTTATTTTCGGGATTAACTTTAAAAAAAAATAAAAACATAAAAAGAAAATGGATCAATTTATTTTATTTTCTGAATGAAGTTTAAAACTAGAAAAAGAAAAGCTTCTGTTTTTTTCTATTAACATGTCAAGGTTCTTCATTTCTGAAAGCTTGTCAGCAATTGTCTGCCACATAAAACAGGATAATTATGATGCTTATTCACAGAAAAACCTATCATTAGGAAGGCGGTAATTTGGTAATATGTGATATCCCCCCCCCCTGCAAACAACGGCCTCTTAACCCTTTTCGATGTGATTCAAGGGAAGATAACTCCTGTTTTCCATTTAACTGATTCACGAGCAAAATTAATATTTTGGAACTTTCTTTAAATAAACACTAAAACTGAATTTACAATTGAGAGACCAGTATTACGGTTTTTAGTTATAAAAGGAAAATTATGAATGAATTATTTTGTTTTTGGAAATTCAGAGACAAAATTTGTTTAATTTAACTGTTTTTTTTTTCAATTTTTTTAAAAACTTTTTCTAACTGATCTATACATCTTTGTCTATGAATTTTAATTTTATTTATTTTAAGGTCCAGAGATAAGTACTTGGTAATTATTGTTATCCTAAAAGAAATTTACAAACATCAGACAGCTAGATTTTTTTTTTTTTTTTTTTTTTCACATTTCATACTCAACACAATTATAAACTGTTATTAAATAAAGGAATTATTTACACTCTAGACTATTGTCCTTATCTTTAGTGTTGCTACCACAATGTTTCTGGTTGCCTACCTGGATCAGAAAGCACCTGATGAAGGTAGGAGATCACAATGGCCAGAACGTTGTGCTAACATCAGCAAATATTAGGACAATAGTCCACATGTAAATAATAACTCCTCATCCCAGAAGTTCAGACAGAAATTAAATAAAATTATTTTAAAACGATTCCAAGAAATAAACAAGATTTAACAAAAAAAAAAACAGATAAATGAAATGCCATATTCTTAAAAGAATATGGCATTTCTCTTGGGACCATGATAATTAACAAGCACCCAGTATTGAATCTTTGTGTTGTTATATCAAAAGCTGTTAATACAACTTGTAATACCATGAGTGGGATTTAGTAAACATTTGAAGCAAATAGTTCAAAACTTTCATAATATTTATAACGTTTATAGTGTAGGAGTGCAAAGGGTGATTAGCTCCCTTTGGGTGAGATGAATTCATGAGTGTCACATGATGGCCGGTGAGTGATATCAGGTTGTGTGTGTGGCGGAGGTGATGAACACTTGTTACTATGTAGACCATAGAGAAGCAAGACATGTTGGCCCACAGTAGTAGGAAGAACAGATGAATCTATATGGTACCATAAAGAACATAGAAGATAACATCGGACAGACTGTTTTCCCTTTGGGGGGAAAATTACAAGTAAGACTTTATATTTTTACTCATTGACAATGCTTGTTATATGCCTTTTTTTTTTTTCTTTTTTATCACGATCACCCTAAGCAAGGCAGTAAAGCCACTAAGACACAAGAGATTACTGGGTGTAGAAGCATTAGAAAACAAAAACATTACTAAGGAGCGAGAACAAAAGATCAGTAGGACAGTAGATAGAGAATGAGATTGCATTTAAACTTTTTGAAGATCAAAGTTGGCCAGAAAGCATGGAGCTGGAAGGGAATTCCACAAGGGAGAAGTGTGAGAAAAGAAATATGTTAGCATAGAACTTATGGTTACATCTCAGCCAGCTCAACTGTAAATTGATGAGATCTCAACACCAGTCTAGTACTGCACTTAAATTCATAAAGTCTAGGTACCATAGCAAAGAGCTCACTCGAAAAACTACCATGAAAGTATTTGTAGAAAAGGCACAGAGAGGCAAATTTATGGAAGTATATATATTGTCATCTATAGACAGATTTTCGCTGTATCACAGCTCATCAGTGTGGCTAGACGTCCGGTTGACTCTAGTTAGGATCAAAACCTAAGGAAAAAACAAAAGATGAAATAAAATTCCAGTTTAATTTAACAGCTGAAGAATAGGAGAAATAAAAACCATACACAATTAATTATCCTATTTTATCAGTGACACTTGCATGAATTACTGATTACAGACAATCCCCTACTTCCCAATTTTCAATGCATTTCTATAATAAAATCATTTCTGTAATAAAATTAGTAGGCAAGTGAGTAGATAAGTTGAAATTATTCATGCTGAGATAAAAATCTGTACTAAAATATAGAGGTGATTATGATTTCATTTTTACCTAACCACCAAAATTTGCAGTTACTCTCAATGGAGGTGAGGTTAGGAAGGAGAATATTTCCAGTTTCTATTTCCCATTATAGACATTAGTATATTCATGATATACCAAGACCTTAATGCAATGGATAGAACAGAATAGCTGAAAGAAAAGAATGACAAACATGCATTGTTCCCAAAGAGATTTTTTATACCACTATGTCATGCAAGAAATTATATATAGTCATCCACAGACAGACTGTTTCGCTGTATCACAGCTCACCAGTGTGGCTAGACGTCCAGTTGCCTCTAGCTAGGATTGAAACCCGACTGAATTGGCATCAGTCAGGGATTCTACCACTAATACTGAAAGAATATAGCATATACTGAGAGAATACATATCACTGATCTCTGTCTCATCAGCAGATATATTGACCTGTGGTGGTAGCACCTATTAGAGTCCCAACTATGGGCAAATAGTTAACCTCAAAACACTATGAAAGTATAATATAATAGTACATTTTTATAATAAAATTACCAGCCATACATTTTTATAGTAAAAAAAAAAAAAGCAAACAATGATCTATATTGCTTCTTAATAATCATAAAATGATCATAGAATGAAAAAGGATAGAATTCAGCAGAAATAAGATGAATCATATTCAAAAAATGTTCATAAAAATGAATAATAACTGACTAGGATTAAATAAGGAACAAATGAGAAAACATCTATAAATTTAACACTTTTTTCTTTTATTTTTCTTAATCAGAAATTTTTGAAAATGAATCATTGAATAGTTTGTTTCAGTGTTTTGTATTCTACCTGCTGTTTGTTTCAATTGATCAAGTTTATATCTTGTGCGTGTCTAATTCTTAAAGACAGTAGTAGGGTAGAAACAGTAATGTGTGTTTGTCATATTTCTTGTAGAGTATATGGTGGCTGCTAATAGAATCAATGTGTGTGTTAACTGAAATGTATGTTATTAATTTTGTGGGTAAATTTTATTATGATTGTTTTTATTGTGAAAAAAAATGTGTGTATTGATAGATTTTTGGTGTGTACAGAGGATGGGTATGTTGGTGTTTATTTGATTGAATTTTATTAATATTATTGCATAGGTTGTTTTTTGATTTACAATCTTGAGTGTATTAAGCGATATTTGTGGTATAATTGACTAAGCGTTGTCTAAGAAATTTGAACAACTCAAGATTTCTACATCTTATTAGGTGTTAAGAAGTAGCAGAAATTAGATCAAGGGAAATATGAGTAGAAAATGAATGATAAGAACAGCAAATCATTAAAAAAAAAAATTAAAATAATATAAACCAGGGGTCAGCAACCTTTTGCTAACTATGTGCCGAATTAGGGTTTTAAAATCATTCATTGTGTCAACAGCATTCATGTTTTTATACCAGTCAAGGTCAATATACCTGTTCTATAATATATTTTATATAGTAATATATAGTATATATACTTTAGTGTATATTAAAATTGAAACAGCTAAATATCTTCTTTGCGTTGTAGTAGTTATTGGTTCGAACTTTGTGATGTCATTTGTGGCTGCGTACCATTGGAAATTGCTTGGCATGCCATATATGGCCGACCCCTAACATAAACTATGGGAATTCAGAAGAAATAGCTTTAACCAATACTAAAAGCTACATCCTTTCCTTTTGAGAACTCCTCTTTTGTAGATGATGCCTGAATGATTTAACTTATGAAAACTGTTATAATAAGATGTTGGTATGAATATAAAAACTGACCGGAAAGTATCTGGCCTATACTAATAGAAAAAAAAAAAACTGTCCCCTTCCTTTGGGGATTTCACACACTTATTCCAACATCTTTTTTTTTTTTGCTTTCCAAAACTGTCTACAAAGTCCTCTTTTGGGATTGCTGTCACTTACTTCATTCTTCTTAATCTCATCCACATCGTTTGAATAGCTATTTTACATTTGGTGGGGAAAAAGCTACAAATCCCAGGGTGCCAAATTCAGACTCTAGAGTGATGCAATGTTTTATCAAAAAAAAAAAAAATCTGTGTGAGTTTTGAAGAATATACCTGTTTGTTCATCATAGATTCAACAGGCACACTGTACACAAGCTCACTCGATAGTGTCTCATCAAGTTATCACACAAGAGAATGTTTGTTCATGCATATGCATTAAGGTACTCTCTGTTTACCAAGCTGGGACCAAGCAACCAGTTCTTGAAATATTCTTAATAGTTAGATACTTTCAGAACAGGTCTTATAAATGCATTGTTTCTATTTTATTTTGATATATTTCTTTTGTGCATTGCTAGGAGCCATTCTGCTTCTCCTGAAAGGAAAAAGCATAAAAAAGAGAAGAAAGAAAAGAAAAAGAAGAAGAAAAAGAAGCACAGAAAGAAACACAAGAAAGAGAAGAAAGAAGAAAAAGTGAGCAAATCTTCTGGTGGAAATGAGAAAAAGGGGGAAGAGAAACGGTGCCAAGTCTTGCCTAAGCCTAGTGCTGCCCCTGCAACACAAAATCCAACAAATCCACATGTGCAAGAAGCCAAAGCAAAAGAAGGTTGGTACATAAAGAAAGGGAACATGTCTTTTAGAATTCATATTCCCCCCCCCCAAGTCATAAGAAGAATCTCAGAGAGGACTGGTTGCTTAAAATGTCATGTTTTTTTTTGTTTTTTTATCAGATTCACTTCCTAAAATCTCCTATAGACAATTACTCAAGTTGTTAAAAGCAGATATTGTCAGAAATAGTCAATATGTGCTAATGATTTTCTTTTCTTTCTTTGTTTAGATGCTCTTCCAGGGCCAAGTCCTCGGGTCCTAAAACCAATGACGAAAGAAGAATGGGAAAAGCAGCAAAGTGTCATCCGTCGTGTTTATGATCCCGACACTGGGCGTAACAGGTAAATAAGGGTAAATACACGGTTTAAACAATTTACATTCTCTTAACAAATGCAAAAATGGAAAAGGACTGTTAATTATTTATTTGTGGCTAGAGTTTCATTTTGAAATGCATTTGAATACAGGGTTTAAAAGTTCAAAATATTCCGGAAAAGTAATTTTCCAAAGTTTGAAGTTTAAAAACTGAATAAATGTCATCATTTGTAATATAATACTCAGATTATTATCAAAGTTTGTCTATTACTTTGAACATTATTATTAGACACTACACTGAAAGATTATTGTTGTGGAGTGAATAGCGCATACCCAATGTCTATATGAACTAGTCCATTACTATAAAGAGCTCCAGGTCAGAGGTAAGACAAGTAGCCATTTGTAGTCAATCTTCAGACTAACTAACACAGGTATCACAGCAAATAGTCAAAGAATTACATATAGAGAATCCTTATACAAAGTACGTTATATAAGTAAGAGTATGTTATAACAATAGCCATAGAATAGGGACGATGAGGGATTTGAAACTTGGGCGATTTATAACTGTTGTGTTGAGGATTCGGAACTCTTATGATTTTAACAGTAATTAGGATTCAAGAACTAATATGAGTTGTAATTGGAGTTACAAACAAGAGTCAGGGTTTATGCAGTTCCTGGGAACCTTAAAAAGTCCTGGAAAATTGACGGCCTTTTCCAGGACTTGAAAACTCATGGAAAAACAGCAATAGCCCAAAAGCTCCTTGAAAAGTCCTGGAATTTTCTAAATTGAGCTGCCCACAAATCTTTCTCTCAATTCATGAAAGTCAAAATGCCAAATCCCAGAAATCTTTTTTACAAGCAAAAATTGTCCTTTAAGAATAATGTTTTTTTAGTCGTCACTAATATTTGTCATTTATTGCAAACTGGTTAGTTTCCTTGATTAGAATGAGTTAATGACCTTGTAGTTACTTCTGTATTTTCTCGTCTAGGTAACAAGAAAGAAAGGGAGAGAGAATATGAAAGTGTGTCTTCTAGCTGCTACCCTCATTCAACAAGAAAAAAGGAAAAAGCAAAGATAAAAGGCATCAGAAACAAGTAAACCTCTCTGTCACTGATGAATTAATTTACACTCATTGAATTTGTGGTTGAAAGGAAAATAACTTATTTTACAATAATAAAATACATTTTAAGAGAATAGAATCTTGAAAAAATTGTCAGTGTCTTTTAAAATGTTAGTTACATTTCAATTCCAAAAGTAAAAAGTCCTTTTGATCTCTAGTCAGTGGTGGGTGAGTTCATGCCAGAAAAAAATATATATACTTTATTGTCCCTTGATTATCCAGACACCTTGAGACAGGGGTTGAACAAATATGTTTGGCTCATTCAAAATTCCAGATAATAGAATAGTTAAATTATCAAAAAAGTATGATGAACAAAAGTCATTTTTGAAAAGAAAGTTAACATTTTTAAAGCCAAATAACATTTTCAAAGGTCGTTTTTTTTTTCTTTTTTTGTCCAGTTTAATTTTTATGAAAAATGCTGCTAACTCCCTAAAATGTCTTCTGGTTGAAAGCACATCCAACTTTAAACATTTGTCAATATAGACATTTCTTTGGTGTTTGCAGTTGTACATTGGAGCTGTTGAACTTTTTCATGAGCAATATCATTATCTTCATCTTCTTCATCCTCCTCCTCTTCAACATTTTCCTGTGCAATTATTAGTTCAACAAAATCATGTCACAAACATTTGATTTCTCTTCAACAGATAACACTACCCTTTTTGTTTTTATCTTTCGAATTTGAAGCCATTTCAAAGCATAAGGTCACAAGTATCAAGAAACTCAAGACTCTTGTTGGAAAGTAAATATCATAGAATGAATTATCAGTCAGAAAAAAATGTTACCATCAATATTGACTTCATGTCCAGATTATCAAAAGACTGGTAATCAAACAACAGTATAATCTAGGAAGTGTTGTAATTTTCAACATGTCTCTGCTTTTTCAATCTGTACTCAAGTTTTGTATCTAGTTCTGGGTATGACAATAAACTACATCTGACAGCAAGGCCTCTAATCGGGAGGTTTTGAGGAGCATGGAACCACATCTTAACTACTATTGTTCCCAGGTCCTCTCTGACCCGGGTTGGTAGCAATTATTAGGATCCTAGTTATGGGCAAATAGTGACACCTTCCCAAACAAACAAAAAACACTATGAAAGTAAATAAATACATTTTTTTATATAAAACAACAATACATTTTTATAGTAGACTTACCAACAATGCATTTTTATTGTAGAATTAACAACAATGCATTTTTATTGTAGAATTAACAACAATGCATTTTATCTGTTGTTGAAGCGATAAAATTGTGTTCAAAATATTTTGATTACATTTTGGCATTAAATGACAGATAAGAAGTTGATATGCCATTAAACAAATCAATCAAGTTCTGTACCATTTAATAAATTATTTACAAATAATATAACTAATGACCAGTGCATTGAAAAGTTGGAAAATAATTTATAATAAAAATGGGTCTGAAATGTATTCAGTCATTTAAATGAATATTTATCTAGATTCCTGTTTATTCCAGTTCGTTGTGGAACAGTGGATAGAAACTTAGTCTCACTGAGTGCTCTCCACCTGTGGCCTTGTACCATACTAAGCTCAGCTTAGTAAGTATCCATTTAGACACCTCACTGTAGAGAAATGGTTAGCAAACTATTACTATCATTGTGTGTTCAATCCTTATTGGGTACCCAATAATAATGACTTTGTGCCAAACAAATTTAGTAAATACCTATCCCAGCATGCATGAACTATCTGTAAGCTTTTTGCATGAAACCTCATACTGCTAAGGCTATGGTGAATGAATGACATCGTACTGCTAAGGCTATGGTGAATGAATGACATCGTACTGCTAAGGCTATGGTGAATGAATGACATCGTACTGCTAAGGCTATGGTGAATGAATGACATCGTACTGCTAAGGCTATGGTGAATGAATGACATCGTACTGCTAAGGCTATGAAAAGGCCTTTTGAACATTTAATGTTATATTCAAAAATGTATTTTTGCTTTAATTCTACCACCTGCCACTCCATACATACTTTGTGAGTGCTTTGAATTCTAGTATAATTCCCAATGTCACTCTCTCTCAATTTTTTTAATGAAAATCTTAATTCCCATGGTGTTATTTTTTTTTTTTTTTTTTTTTTCAAAGAACCATTATTTTTTTCTTCCTTTATCCAAGTTTCCTGATCAACCAGAGCCCCAAATTAAGAAATGTTTGGATTATTTGGCAAAAACAAATTATAACAAAGTGTACAAAGGCAGATCAATAAGTCTGTGACCTAACATGTATTTATGGGTTGTATAATATTCACCACTCAATTAAGTGAATTGGCAAAGAAGGCAACATGGAAAGATTAATATTTGTTGTATAAAATGTCTTTTTTCAGCCTTATTGACTTATTGATGAATTTATTTGTTATTTAATATTTAATTTACTTATTTTAATTTTATTTATGAATAAAGCAAAATTTATTTTATTTTAGATCAATGTGTACTTAAATTTTATGTAGATTTATAAATGTTGTTTGGACTGCTCAACAGTGTTTTTCTGTTTTCTGGTGAGCACAGCCAAGATAAAAGACTCCTCCCCCTCTCATTTCATTGAAATTGCAAACTTGAACAAGTCTGCGTTAATAACAAGAACACCAAAAAGAATTGAGTTTAGTGGGCAGAATAATCATTGGAATAATAACTCTTCTCAAAATTATAGAAATTAACTTTGATGTACAATACATGTCTGGGAAGGAACCAGGCTTCTTTTTTTTTTTTTTTTTTTTTTTAATATCTTGAGAATTGGTTGAATGGTCTTGATGTAATTTGACCACTAATGAACACCATGACCAACTGAGTAGATTCTTCATGTCTCCTTGCCTTGGAAGAACATTGTTTCCTTATTCCTTCTTTTCAGTCTTTTTATCTTTCTTTTTTTTTTACAGACTCGTGAAAGGAGATGGAGAAATTATTGAAGAAATTGTTAGCAAAGAAAGACATCAACAAATCAACAAAGTGAGCAAAATTAGAAACTTGATTTACTTTTTTTTTTTTCACATGCAAAATCCTGGATCTTTTCCTTTTGAAACTTCTTTTTATTTTCCTTTCATTTTCACAGAAACACATCTCTCCACAAAATGATCAACTTTTTACAACTTTCTTTTTCATATTATCACAGAATCAGCAACCCAGATCACAAATATAAAAAAAAAATAATTTTCTAAGTTATAAGAGATGGGATTCAGTTTCCTATATAAAATTATTGTAAATTAATCCCACTGCACAATTCCCAAAAAAAATAAAATAAAAGGGAAATAATAATAATAATAAAAAAATAAAAGTGAAAGGTAAATTCATATTTTTCAGCTGTTATGAAATTAACTTTTTTGTATTTCACCTTGAAATTATTTGAAATTCTCTCACAGATGTGTCATTGCCTCCCTCTGTCTTTTTTTACAAATACTTTCACGGTAACTGCTCCAATGAGCTGCTTTCGCTGGTTCCTAGACTTTAATTTAAGCATTCAACTAGGCTGGCATCTCGCTCACACCCTTTCACTGTTGAAACTGTTAAATGTAGCCGTCTCTTCTACTCCAATAGTTTTATGTCTTGCACTTCTCGCCTGTGGAACTCCCTCCCCTTTTCCTGTTTCCCTGATAGCTATAATCTCCAACTATTCAAATGTAATGTCAATTGACGTCTCCAGATGCCTTGATCTATCCCCTATCCTTCTCTTCATACTTTCCTCTATCACTTCTATTTGCTCTCACTCCAACTCTCTGTAACCCCTTGCATGTTAGTTGCTTCCCGCCTTGCTTGGGGTGAAACGCTTAAAAAAAAAATAAAAATAAAAATAAATGAACTTATTTTGTGGGGAGAAAGGTGTTTACACAAAGGGATCAATTTACATTGCAAACTGTCCCCGCTTTTACAATTTAGAAAATTTATTTTTTGGATCTGGAGTGCTTAATCAATAGTTATTAAAAAGAAAAAAAGAACAAATTTTTAAATGATTATTTTTTGGTGAGGTGTGTTTCTGTAGAAAGTGTTTGTGTATTTATTCCAAGATAGCTGTGAAATAAGATCTTTTATCTAATAATAATCCAATTTGTGCATTTTTTTGTTTATTATTATAACACATCATAGCAAGATTTTGTTAAAATGTTCACACTTGGAAAATAAAGCAATTTCCATGTCAAATGGAAACTAAATATCAGGTTTGCATTTGTACTCACCCAATGATTTATTTTATAAGCCCTTTTTTCAAGGGAGTTAACTTCAAATATATTACTTATTGAGTAGTCTCTCTTATTTTGTATTACAATAGAGCGATTTGCTACTTAATAATGATACTGTAGTCGTGGTTGGGGTCTGTATTTGTACTCATCTCGATTGATTCTATATTTCTAGACAAAGAGTATGCAAACAGGACTTTTCTACGGTATTTCTTTATGCTCAGATTCTCACATTTTTTTTCTCACTGCAAACTTGATCTGAAAGTTAAACTTATTTTGCATACACTGCCATGCAAAACTTTTGTGTTACTTTGTCAAATTAATTTTGTTAATTTTACCCCCAAATCGACCTTTTCTCCATACATTTTATGATCTTTGAGGGCTAGGAATTCAGTTACTTCCCTCTTGTTAATGCTGTATGGTGGACAATAGAACATCTTGAAGCATAGAGATGCTGAAAAAAAGGCCATGCAAAAATATTAGGCTACCAGCAAAAATTTCACCTTTCAACTCTTTTCTGAAGTTAAAAAATGGTTTTCTTTTTTCCAAAAAGTGATCTTTATTATTACAGAAAGTAGAAAATGTCAAAGTATGTTGTTAGTAATCAGTGTTGCTACATTTGGTTCAATTGTCTCAAAGTGTGGTTTTCATTGGAGCATTTATTTCTTCAGTTCCCACCACAAGGGTTCAATTATATTGAGATCAAAACTTTGTACTGGCCAGTTTTCCAAAAGTTGAATATCTTCAGTCACAAGAAATCTTTTTGTCACTCACAATGTGTAGCAAGTAGCACCATTATGTCGAAAAATTTCTCCATCATTATAGTCTGGCAGATGATTAGACTCTAGTAAACTAATATAGTTTTTGGTGTTAAGGGTTTTTATTAACTTTTACCAATTTTCTTCTGCCATCTCTTTTGATGCAACACCCACACCATTACGTGTCAACCGTCAAAATTATACTGCCTTCGTGGTGTATCGTGCATTGTTTCTTTCTCTCACTGATCTTCTTACATATTCTCTTGCATTAGAATGTAAATTCTATTTCGCATTCATCACTAGAGACTACTTTTTACCATTTTCCAGCATCCTATGTTAGATGTTCTTTTGACCACTTCAATCTTCTATTTTGATGTTAAGGATATTTGTTTTTGTTTTGTTACTATACACCCATTCAAGTTGTCTTTACTTAATACTTCCATTTGTAGCAAACATCTTCCAGATTGTTTGAACACTGATTCTGGAAATTCCCAGCTGTCCAGATATTGAGTCATTTTCGCCTTCAAAGTCACAACCATCATCTTTGTTTCAACAGAAATTTTAACTATGATTCTAGTGTCACTGTTCAACTGCAGTTATTTACCAAGGTACCTTTATGGAACAATTTCTACTTAGAAATTTGCATATTATCATGAATTTATCATTTCATATCTTTTATTAGCCCAATAATTTTGCATAGCCCTTTTTCAGCTTTAAGCAGTGTATCTTCTGTTATATGGCACCTACACAACAAATTATTTAACAATCCTCAAGCCTCACAGAAACTACAGATAAAAGAATATGGTTAAACAGTCTTAACTTCTTAATAAAATAAAGGTGTATAATCATTTTATTAGTTATTGGAAATCTTTCTTTTGATTGTTTGTTTGTTTTACGGCATATCAACCTCAATGGGTTATTTAACGCCAACAAAAATTTTTATTGCCGGTGATATTTGTTTTATAAAATCTGTTTCTGGGAATATTTTTTTCTTCAAAATTCTATTTCTGAGAATATTTTTTCTTCAAGAAATCTATAGCTGGTAATGTTGTTGTTTTTTTTAAATGTAAAGCTGTTTGTATTGCTGGCATTTTTTTAAGTATTTCCGATAATTTTTCCTTCAAAAATTGTTGGTAATTTTTTTTTTTTTTTTTTTTTTTTTTTTTAAAAGTATTTCTGGTATTAAAACCTATTTTTAGTTTGGGTGTTAACTATTTGCCCATAGCTGGGACCCTAACAGATGCTACCACACCGGGTCAGGGTGGACCTGGGAACACCAGCAATTAAGAGGTGACTACATGCTCCTCAAAACCTCCTGATCAGAGGCCTAGCTGTTGGACGTAGTTTATCGTCTTACCCAGGATGCGGATGTAGTTTATCGTCATACCCAGGACAAAAATCTTTCTTTGGATGTCAGTAAATTCAAGAAATAAAGTTAAGGTGCATCATTGCCAAATTCATAAACTGTTTGAGATGGATGGTAGACAGATTATTAGTAATAGACAGATTAGATCTGTGATTCTCAAACCTTTTGAAATTGGGGCACACTTGAAATCCTACCAATAATTGTAGGCGTACTATATGCAAATTTCAGAAAAATATGTTATAATGAAGTCAAATATTGCAGAAAAGAAATAATGCAATAAAAAATATAAAATGAAACATGCCTTAAGTTTATTCATTCTTGTGTTTATGAGAAACATGCGCCTGATGAGTCTTAGCCATTTCTTCAATGTTTGGGTGTATATTTAATAGGCAAACTCACATTTTCTCCTCAGTACATTGAAGAGTTCCTCTCTTTTTGCACTTAATTGTGGTGAGAGCAGAAAAGCTTAATTCACATAAATATGAATGAGACAGGTACCGCAATATAATAAAGTAAATATATTTATTTCTTATATCTGGATACATATTTCTCTGGAATGCCAAGGGCACATCATTTGAAAGCCACTGGATTAGATAGTAGACAGCAAGCAAAATCTGTTGTACCAAATGGGAGTAACTTCCTCTGCTTCTTCTTCTTTGGTTAAAATGGATGATTGCCCTCATATCTTCTAATAGTCTTTTGATCTATTTTGGATTATATCATTTAGGAATTGTAGCAATTTATTTTCTGAGAATAATTATGGATATATCAACAAAAAAGAACAATGCATCTTTTTTAGGTAATCAAATATTGATTATTTATAATTATGTTAAAGCTACTTTAATTTTCTTCAGACATTTTGTTTAAATATTTTGCTGAAAATATCCAGTTGCTTGAATGATAGTACCTCTCCTTCGAAATAGAAGACCTTCAAGAGAAACTGGATCAGCTTAAAATCCTGAATTTACAAATTAACACAGTTCGATATATTGTTTATATCTATGTTTACTTCTATAGAATTTAAATAATCCTGTGGTGGTGGTTGCATATGCCAAATTTTACTATGGCTTTAAAAATAGACATGTTAACAGAATATATATTCACATAATATATTTAAATATATTAAGACAAACTAAGGAGGAGAAGAAAAACATATTACTCATCATAAAGTGGCAAATCAAAAAAATATAACTGCCTATTGCTCCTCACTTTTCAGAGCTCAATCGAGGACAAAACATAAATATGTGCACATTGACTAAAATTATGATGGAAAAAAGGAATACTACCAGAGAATCAGTCCTGCAGATTACTGACAAATTTCATTAAGACCCAGCAGCCATTCAGAGAGAAGGCTGCTTAGACTTAATATAGAGGGACTCGAGCACTTTCAAATGGTAATCTGTATATGCTGATAATTGAGAAATACTTGGTGAAAGATGAGGTACAAATCAAATTATTAAGTGTTCTGCAATTGCAAAACTTGATGCAAATTTTCATTCTACCCTTTATGGGTCTTAGCAGGTATTTACAGATCAATTCTCAGTTCCATCTTCTATTTAGTTCTACCACTATAACCACTGACATTTGAAATCATAAATCATGATGATAGGGTAAACCAGAATATCTTTATGATTAAATTTTAACATAGAAATTTCTAAAGTGAAATGTTTCCTTTTTAATTTTGAAAACTTTGCTACAATCTCAAAAGGCTGAAAAATTCAGAAATGTTAAACTGAACTCTTCTACAACATAATGTAAAACTGATTTTAGTTTAGTAAATTTAGCTTTATTATTTCTCTTTAGATGTAAAACTTGTAAGAAATAAAAGCAAAGGGTCATAATGCAATTTGAGAAAAATTGTGAGAAAACCTGTATGTTCAAAATTATTTGCTATATATATGTGTGTGTGTGTATTGTGTATTTGGGAAACAATCCATTTTTTATGCAAGTTTTATTGAAAATGACTGACAAGGTGCAGTGGTTAACTTTTGTATATAATTTCTTGTGTTTGTATAATTTTTTTTCTTTTCAGGACATAAATTATATAAAAATTGTTGGAATGTTTTCCAAGCACTTTTGGCTATACTTTTAGCCATTATCAAGGATGAATTTTATTTTACTTTTAATTGAATATATGCATTGTTTTATATATGTATTTAGAGTTAGAGGAATGTTTTATTTTCCAAACATGGTCAGTATATTGTGGCCATGTTCAGAGTTGATATTAATGAGTGTTGGCTTTTTCTTTTTTTTTATTAATAATGCTTCCATTATTTTTAGCCATTTTGTACTTATGGATGAGGCTATTATATATGTATTATCAACGAGTATGTTACGGATAGAGTTTGGTAGATCTCCATGTGTATTAAAATGAGACCAAATTGAGCTATGGTCAGAGATATGTAACGAGAGTCTTCTTGTTAAACATACAGTTCATTAAGAGACAGAAAAAATTAAAAAGTAAAATTATACAAATGCATGAGAAATTATATAAAAAAAAAGCCTAACCACTACACCTTGTCTGTTATTTTCAACAAAACTATACATACATATATATATATATATATATAGTGGGGGGAAATAAATATTCGTACACTTCAAAAATTGTTTTTTTTTATAAATGTAAAAGCCTTAAATAAAACAAATCTCGGCACATTTTATGTATAAAGACACATACTATTAAAAAATAATAATAAACTTAATTAATTCTTATTCTAACAGAAATTAATGCATTTTTTTAATTCTAACTGGTGAAAAAAGTATTCGTACAAATCAATTATTATAATAAAATAATCAATTAATTATGAAAAAAGTATATTCTAGAATGTTCCAGTAATGTTATCAGTAATTATAGTAAACGCTATTAGCCATTATCAGAGCATTCTGCAATTTCTAAGGTTCTAATAATGCCTAAAGGTAAAGAATTGACTATTTCACAAAAACAACACATTTTGTCTCTTTGGAAAGATGGGAACAGTTACAGAACGATTTCTAACAACCTGAATATTCCTTTTACTACAATTGCTTTGTTATTGCAAGGTTTAAAACTCGTAACAGCGTCGAAAACCAAAGATGAACAGGTGCTCCGAGGAAGATTTCTCTTAAGATCAGCAAGGACATTAGGACGCCAGATCCAAGAAAATCCACAGGTTACCCGAGAAAAGCTGCAGGAACATCTGCGTGCATTAGGGTTTAAAGTAATCAAGCGTACAATGAGTAATGAACTACACAAAAACAGTCTGAAATCATGCATCCCAAGGAAGACTCCACTCCTCTTTAAATGACACAGAGATGCTAGGCTAAAATTCATTAGAGAGCATGAGGATAAAGAATATTCATTTTGGGAAAAAGTACTATGGACAGATGAAACTAAAATAGAGTTGTTTGGTCATAATTATCGAAATCATGTGTGGAGGAAGGACGGTGAAGCCTACTTACCAAAGAACACGTTGCCAACTGTAAAGTTTGGTGGTGGCAGTATCATGATCTGGGGCTGTTTTTCTGCAAAAGGTGTTGGCAGAATATCAATAATAGATGACAAGATGAATGCCAAAAGCTACCAGAAAATCCTGCAAGACAATTTAATGCAATCTGTTGTGAGACTTCGGCTACCTCCTGATTGGGTTTTCCAACTGGATAATGATCCTAAGCATACCGCTAGATCTACAAGGAAATGGTTAGCTGAAAGTAACGTTGATGTCTTGCAATGGCCAAGTCAGTCCCTAGACTTGAACCCAATCAAGAATTTATGGCGATATTTGAAAACTCAAATTGGGAAAAGAGCACCAACAAATATCAAGAATTTGAAGACAATATGCCAAGAAGAATGGGACAAAATACCACTCAATATGTGAAAATCATTAGTTGAGATGTACAGGAATAGACTGGTAGCTGTTGAACTCAATAAATGATATTCCACAAAGTATTAAATTAAGTTAATATGCTTTTTTTGTTTTGTACGAATACTTTTTTCATCAGTTAAAATGAAAAAAAATGCATTAATTTCTGTTAGAATAAGAATTAATTAAGTTTATTACTATTTTTTAATAAAATGTATCATTACACATAAAATGTATCAAAATTTGTTTTAGTTAAGGCTTTTACATTTATAAAAATACAATTTTTCAAATGTACGAATATTTATTTCCCCAATGTGTGTGTGTGTGTATATATATATATATATATATATATATATATATAATTAGAATTAATGAAATATTTGTTTTTCAATTTAATCTAAAACTGTTTTTATATTTGCAGCAAGCCACAGCAGGAGATGGTCATTTTTACCAAGCAAAGATGGGTCTTCTCAACTAATCACAGTTGACTGGATTTTCTTCTTTTTTTTTTTTTTTCTCTCTCTCATTTTTTCCCCTTTCCAATTTTATAAAAATTTGACTGACTGGACAAACAATTTCTTTTTATTCTGGTGATATGTTTGGTATATTGATGCATAACTTAGAATTAAAAGTTGGTGTTTATTGAAATCATGTCTGGAAACTTGAAATTCTAATTCTGGAAGCATTGATGGAATTCTTACAATTAAGACAAAAAAAATCACTTGTTAGAAGTTAATGAAATTTATAACAGTGCATGATTAATAATCCTTCTAAAGTAGATCACTTAGAAGAGTGTTAAAAAATGTAATAACTATTAAAAAAAATTAGTGACTGATACTCAATAGTCTAAACAGACATTCTGATAAAAATTAGAACTTAAAAACCAAAATAGGTTTATAAAGATTTTTTGTTTTCAAATCTTAAATATTTTCTTTATCTTAAAATCACTTTGATTTTTTTTTTTTTTTTGCTTTTTTACATTAATAATAATGGAAGGTATGATATACAAATATATACATCAGACTTATTGTGAGTAATTGAATGAGAAAATGAAAAATTTCCTGTATAATGCATTTCATCTTGAGAAGGAATGGAATCACTCTTTTATATATATATATATATATATATATATATATATATATATATATAAAGGGTCCATGTGTGCTTCTTATAATATGTAAAATAGATAGGTTAGTTAAAACAAGGACAAACAAAAGGATACTAATATAATCAGTACAATAAATATTTATTAAATATTAATTATTAACCATTTGACAGAAATGAAGCACAGAAAGAAAGGTTTTAAGTTTGGAATTTTCGGACATGTCTGTATCATTCATCAACAGACTGAGGAATAAACAGAGAAATAAGGATTACTCACTGGGTGATGTTCTTGTAGATGGTGTATTTTCCAGTGAAAATCGTATTGTTAGCAAAAACCCAATCCCTGTTTCCTCGATGTACAAAACTTTTTATGAAAATAAATTTAAACTTGCACATTGAGAAATCGGACATAGATCCGATTAATTTAATTTGTTGATTTCAATGTCCACATTTATATCCACTCTGTCCCTGACAGTTACGTTATCAGGCAAACGTTGTACCAACAGGCCTCGGTGACAAAAAGGTAGCGAATTAGACTACCTTTTCATCACCGAGGCCCGTTGGTATAGTTTGTATGACATTTGCCTGATAACATAACTGTCTGAATTTTAATTCTTGGTAATGGATGCGCACTTCTGATGAGTCCGAAATATAGGACGGGACAGCTGTCAAGTAGTTTCTGCATTCTGTTGAGGATTCTTCTAGACTCGATTAATTACTTAATTATAATTATCTCAAATCCTCCTAATTTCTATCATATATATTATATATATATATATATATATATATATATATATATATATATATATATATATATAAGGAGGAGGTGAGAAAGCTAAGCATCATTGTATTTTTAGTGTTTTCAATTTAAAGTTGTAACCAGTGTTTGTTGTATTTTTCCTCATCTCCCACCCACCACTAGGTCCAAAAGGATGAAATGTCTTACTTAAGAGATTATTTTTCATTTTCTCATTCAATTACCTATTAAAGACAACGTAATTTTTATGTACCAAACGTTGTTCGTTCGATTGAACTCATCTTTGTATATTTACTTCTGCTAACACTATGTTCTGGATGAGCCATTATTCAACTCTTATCAGATACAGTCAGTGAGGATGGAAAAAAAAAAAATGAAAACTCTTTGAACAGCATTGCTATGTTAATGATTCTCCGCAAAGTTATTAACAAATTTAATTTCTAGTAAAGCCTTCATCTTTTTCATCTTCACCTTTTTTTTTTTTTTTTCAAATTTTCATAAGGAAGTTTCAAACGAAAACTAATCTCTTTTGAAATAATACAGAAGAAACATCTATAGAAATCCTTTTGGTTCATTGCATGTATGACAAGCTGAAAATTCATGCAAGAACTGCTGCTGAAATTGTTAAGATGTACACTGTTGAACAAGACTAAACATTTAAAAAATCTGTTTTCCAAATTTCAGTTTGTTTTTATTTTACCCTCCTTCATTTGAACTCTTTTCATGTTATTCAAAATCCGACACAATTAGGGAATAGAACCTCAGTCAGTCGAACCTTACAATATCGTTTCTCCCTAATATAGTAGAACAAGGAATTTCCTGATTTTGCAAGAATGTGTAAGTTTTTTTATTCACTATTTACTTGGTCGAGTTTCTATATGGAATGCAGTAGATGTGGCTTGGTAAAAGGATCACCAATTTGTTAATATACAGGGGGGTGCTGAAAAACTCTCAGTGCAATCAACTTTCCAACATCTGTCATTTAATGTTTGGACACTGAAATTCTTATTTTTAGAAATGAACTGTGAATTTTTTTTTTTTCAGCAGCTCTGGAAAGCCTATCAGACATTGTGTTTTTAATTTTCCTTACCTATATGTGATGAAAGTACATTTAAATTTATAAGGCATCTTATGTGACAGCTGAAGTATGAATGATGTACATATGAACTTGCTATTACCCATAAGGGTAAAAGTATATTCCCAGAATTAAAACACTGTCATATGATGGAGAACACTCAAATTTCATAAATTTGACTCAATCAAAATTGCATTATATTTCTGATACAGCTGCAGAATGCTTCATCTGTTTTATATATATATATATATATATATATATATATATATATATATATATATATTATATATATATATATATTGAAAATGGATGTCATTCTTTTGCTCCTGAAGGTAAAATAATGATATCCATTCTATTTAAATATATTGAGTTCTGGTGTAAAATAGTGCTCAATGTACTATAACAGAGCTATTAAATATATAATAAATATACATATTATCCCTCACCAGTAACACGACTTAGAGTTTCATGTACAACACATTCTTCAGGTGCTGGGTAGCTAAAGATTGCATTGTGCATGAAACTCAAAGTCGTGCTATATTATGTATATTTATTTATATATGGTAGCACACATTGAGTTCTGGTGTTAATAAAAACAGTGCTCATTGTATAATAACAGCTAAAATTTATACTAATAATAAACATACATTTTTTCCCCTCACTAGTAACACAACTCTGAGTTTCATGCAAAATGCAATCATCAGGTGCAGATTGAAAAGAACATGAAACAGTTGTGCTACCAGTGAGGGGAAAAATATATAAAATTTCATTAGCAAACAGCCAACTAAAAATCAACAAGTTTTATTTTATTCTGTCTTCATTTTCAAGATGTACAGTTAAAGTTTAAACTCTGCTTAACAACACTCACATGTAATTATGAATTTGTACACTTGGTGAATGTTTTATTTGGGGTCTGTAGCAGGTCAACCGAAATACAGTGACTGAAAGCATTTTGAGTTGAGATGGGCAAAGTTTTAAACCAACTTTCTTTCTATGCAAACAAGTGAAACAAGAAACAAAAAGTTGCTTGTCCATTCAATCAAATATTCATCTGCTTTTTTCCAGTTCTCTCTCTCTCTCTCTCATTTCTTTTTTCATTCTTTGTATCTGCAGATTGTTTTTTGTAACTTCACACTTGTGCAAACTTACATGGTATACAGACATGCTTCATTTTGCTGTGCTTTTACAAGCAAATGAAGCCAATGTATAGCCTGTTGCATTGTGGGAAGATGCGGTTGGGGGGGGCTTTATATTATTAACAGGGAGTATGGAAAAGTGAAAGCCGGTTCCTCTTTTTAAATAATAAGTTGTTAAATGTATGTTGGTTCTCTTGGTATCTACTTTTATGCTACTCTGGGTTTTAGTGTCTCTGTCAGGTCATGTGGTTGCCGAGAAATGCTCAGGTGGTCTGCTAGTATTTATTTCCCACTCTGTGTAGGTAAAATATGACACACAGTCCTTCATTTAATGTGGGTTGATCCATAGCCCCACCCAATATAGCAGATGAATCAAGGCCACAATTGATGGTGAGTCATACCAAAAAAGCCTGGTTCAATCTGTCATGCCATCAGGGCATACCTAACAGTCTGAATGCAGTGGGTGGAGCCTGTTTTGTTGCCCAGCCTGTCATCCATTTTTGGCTTGTGTCATCTGATTAAGTCACTGCCAACCTGATAATATAAACCAAGAAAATGGTTGGAAGTGAGTCTGATCTTCATGGGTGCACCACTATTTATGGCCTTGTGCTAGCGTTAGCTAAGTTTTGTAAAAGTCTATAGATATTTCCTGTGATGTTGAGCTTTGAAAGTTAGTCTTAAAGATCAATTTGCTAGTGTTGGTGTCTCTGTCAGATTTTTTTTGTATAACATAGGCACTCCAACCACCATGGCCTTATGACTATGTTCTGCTTAGTAATTAACTAGACTTATGACCAAGTCACACAAAAACCAATGATTCTTGTCTGATTACATTAGTTAAGTCATGAAAATTAATCAGCACTTAAATGGATGATTACTTGGAAAGATTAAGTACATGACCTTTTACCTGACTAGGCAAAGCTTTGTAAATAAAATATCTATCATGTTGTGGATTTCAAATAGAATAGAAATCTTAGAATTATAGATGAGGTCTAATTATTTATACTATTCAGTTGGTAAAGAAATTCTTTCTTTCTTTCTTTCTTTCTTTCTTTTTTCTTTTTAAGTCTCATCAATTTTGATCTCAGAAGAATTTTATTGATTTCAATACTTGTATAAATTGCAAACCATGTTTCTCACAATATGAGTTAAATAAAAAAATGTTTATTGTATGATAGCAGAATATGCTTTTATATTCAGACTTGAAAGCTACATTTGAAATGTACAAAAAGTATCATCTTTTGCTCAGTGAGGGTGACTGTTGCCCTGGCACATGAGCAAGATCTTGTAGATTATTTACTTAAATCCTTATATTATATCCTGCCTACCATGGCCCTATGCCAGACTAAGTTTACAGTTGGCCCCCTTATATGTCAGGGATATATTTCAAGAATCCCAATAGATGC